GTACTACCAAATACCCACACGTGAGGAAATCATTAGTGAGATGGCAGGAGCAAACTACTTCACTACATTGGATGCCTCACAAGGTTTCTGGCAGTTACAACTGGATGAGAGCAGCACTAAGTACTGTACATTCAACACACCCTTTGGGAGGTACTGTTTTCTTAGGTTACCATTTGGAATAAAATCAGCGCCAGAAATATTTCATAGGGCTATGGAACAGATCCTGGAAGGCCTAGAGGGAGTCAGAGTTTACATCGATGATATTATCATTTGGGGCTCAACTCTCCAGGAACACGACCAGAGACTGTTCAGAGTGATGGAAAAGATTCAAAAATATGGATTAAAACTTAACAAAGCCAAGTGTGAGTTTGCAGTGCAGGAGGTTCTCTTTCTGGGAGACAAACTTACAGCAAAAGGAATAAAACCTGATGAAGACAAGATTAGAGCCATACTGAGCATGCCAAAACCAACAGATAAGACAGGCGTGTTGCGCATACTGGGAATGGTGAATTTCATAGGCAAATTTATTCCCAATCTTACTGCTAAAACATCGTGTATTCGTGAGCTGTTACACAACGACAATGAGTTCAGGTGGGAACTAAGGCACGAGAAAGAGTGGCAAGGACTAAAGCAGGCCCTCACTACAGCGCCAATATTAGCCTATTATGACCACAACAAAAAGCTCAAGGTGTCAACTGATGCGTCCAAAGATGGGATTGGAGCGGTGCTTCTCCAAGCAGAGGGAGATCATTGGCAACCAGTGGCCTACGCATCAAGATCCATGACGAAGGCGGAATGCAAGTACGCACAGATAGAAAAGGAATGTTTGGGCGTAGCGTATGGTTTGGAGAAATTTCACAGCTATGTGTACGGTTTGCCGTCTTTCACTGTGGAAACTGATCACCGCCCGCTCGTTTCCATCATCAAGAAGAACTTAAACGAGATGTCGCCACGGATTCAGCGTTTAATGATGAAAATGCAGAGATACGACTTCGAGCTCATCTATACGCCTGGAAAACACTTGCTTATAGCGGATGCCTTGTCTAGAGCACCTGCTAGGGGCTGTGTGAGTACGACTGATGAGGATATAGACAGCCACATAAGGATGGTGTGTAATGCTCTGCCGGTGTCTGACGTCAAGTGAAAGCAAATAGCTGAAGCTACGTCGCAAGATGCAGAGTTACAGCTTGTCATACAGAACATGGAAGAAGGATGGCCTACAGGGTCGTGCCCTCACTACTATCATGTTCGTGGAGATCTGAGTTACGTGGATGGACTGTTACTGAAGAAAGGAAGAATAGTCATTCCAGAGGTTCTGAGACCAGATCTCTGTGGCAGAATTCATGAAGGACACCTCGGAATTGAGAAATGTAAAAGGAGAGCGAGGAAACAGTGTACTGGCCTGGATTAAACAGAGACATTGAGACATTTGTGAGTGGATGTGAAACGTGTCAAAAACACAGGAGTAAACAAACCAAAGAGCCAATGGTAATACCAGAGATGTCTACAACTCCATGGCACAAGGTAGGGATAGATTTGTTTTATCTGAAAGGGAAAGACTATTTAGTAGTCATAGATTACTTCTCCAACTTTCCGGAAATGGCTCTGCTTAACAACACATCATCAACCTGTGTGATCACTCACACTAAATCTATATTCGCCAGGCATGGTATTCCTAACATTGTAGTTAGTGACAACGGACCGTGTTTCAGTAGCAGAGAATGGCAAAGGTTTGCACAGGAGTACGAGTTTTGCCATGTGACATCAAGTCCACATTACGCACAGTCAAATGTGCAAGCGGAAAAAGGTGTTCACATTTTGAAGCAACTGCTTAAGAAAGCAGCAGACAGCCGCTCAGATCCATACTTAGCCTTGCTGAGTTACCGTGCGTCCCCATTACAGTGTGGTTTGTCACCAGCGAAATTACTCATGAACAGAGAGTTGCGAACAACGCTGCCTAGTTACTCAAAAGCTACTACACACAAGAAACAGACAAAACTGAGGGGGACACTGAACAAACAGAAGGTGACCCAGAAAACCTTTTATGACCGTTCAGCCAAACCACTATCTTCCCTGAGTCACAGCAACCCAGTCAGGATTGAGGATGCGGATGGCTGGAATACAAAAGGAATTGTGTTACAGGAGGTGACTCCAAGGTCGTTTACTGTGAAGACAGAGGATGGGCAGATTCTCAGGCGCAATCGTCGTAGTCTCCTGAAGATTCCACACACATCCAGTGGACCCCATAACGCCCTTTTACAGGAACCTGCAATTATACCTGATGAGAACTGCAATGCCAACCTACCTCCGGACAAACCAGAACTGAGAAGGTCTGGACGGGAAATAAAGAAACCGGAGAGACTGAACTTGTAGAGGGTTTAGTTTTAAGAAAATTGCTCTTGTAATAATTGCTGATTTTCAGGAGTAGGAAGACTCAAGTTTGCATTGTTTGTTTATTATGAGTCCAAGCATTTTACAAGGGTAGATAACGCATTGTTACATTGTGATGGTATTACGGTGAAATGGTTATCTCAAAGAAAAAAAAGGATGTTATGATCAATGGTAATTGCGGGTTGTCGCCATTAGATGTCACTGTGTTACCTGTAATATATAGAGAGACAAGCCGAAGAAGAGTTGTTGTTAGCCATGAGGTTTTAGAAGAGCTGTGTTAATAAAAACGAGCATTTGCTTCATCATCAGCCATGTGTTTATTCAAACACAACAAACATTTTAAAACAAATTTGAGGAAGCACTTCTTTACACAGCGTAAGAGTAGTAAGAGTATGGAATAGTCTTCCTGCTAGTGTAGCAGAAGCTAAAACCCTGGGTTCCTTTAAATCAGAGCTACATAAGATTTTAACAACTCTGAGCTATTAGCTAAGTTCTCCCCAAACGAGTTTGATGGGCCGAATGGCCCCCTCTCGTTTGTAAATTTATGTTCTTATGAATGTATCCTTACTTTACTGGATGCAGACAACGCATTATATGGCAGGAGTGTCAAACTCAACCGCACAAGGGGCCAAAACTCAAAGCACACTTTAGGTCGCGGGCCAAACAGGATAAACATTTACTGAACATACTAAAACTATTTTTTTTTAATAAATATGAATCGAAACAGACAGGATACAATATTATTCCAAAATAAACTTAAAGTTAAAATATTTTGCTTTCCATAAAAATACAATACAAATTCAAAATATGAATACGCTGCAAAAAAAAAAACTGAAAATATACAGAAAAATTGTGCTTTTAAGTGAAAGTTAAAATAATACATCAAAATATTCCATTTTCTTTGCTCTTATGCCATTCTGTCAGAGCTGGATGCTTGGCATCTTTTCTTGGCAACAAGATCGTTCATGTTTGGGGTAAAGTTCTGTGTTGTGGAGATTCTCTATCAGCCACGTTAGCTCCACAAATAAGAAACATGGGTTTACCGGCAATGTCGGTAAACATATGTGACAGGTTCATCCATGCAGCGCCATTCTATCGCTTCCGCACGCACCATCAGACACTGGGACAACCAGGTATAGATCACAAGCTCCCTTTTATTTGCTGCAATAAATGTACACGGTACAGTGAAGTCGTGGAGGTTTCAAACGGCCTCAGGACAAACCCCTTTAGATAAATTATGGACAGAAGGCAGTTAGCATGCGAATCAAACCTAAAGCAATCGATATACACTTAAATCGAGGAGTCATCTCAAGGTAATGAATTTAATTCACTAAACACATTGCCTGAGAAACCATAGCTTCTGTGCACTTCTAAGCTAGTAAAACAAAGTTTACCTCGGACCCCTTACAAACATGACCTACCTGTTCAATATCCATACTTGATTTGGGCAAGTTCGCGCGATTTCCCCACCAGCAACGCCGTACCATGCTACCACTAGAGGGCGCCTTTGCACCATTTAAAATAATTTAATCAAGTGCTTTTCAACTCCGTCACTTTTCTCTTGGCTATTGTTAGGGGCTAGCTTTAACTTGAAATTAGGGTTGTATACATCAACAGACGCTTGATTGATCTGACGTAATTGACGCGGGAATGATTGCAGGTAGCCTATCGTTCGGTAAGGCAGCAGTTGCGCTGCATTATGGGATTTGTAGTTTGAAGGGAAAAAAAAATCCCGTTAAAAAAAGATATATAAAATGATCTTGCGAGCAGGATATAATTGTACGCTGGGCCGGATGTGGCCCGCGGGCTATGAGTTTGACACGTGCATTACGGCATACTATAACCACAGTCTTCATGCTTTTGGCAACAAAAAAGCAAGTATTTATAAACTTTTATAATGTTTTATGTAGAATTGTTAAAATGATTGAGCAGTTGTGATGATGGAACTTAGGAAGTATCAACACTATAATGCCTTATGACTGTCAATAGATCAAAGATGCTGTAATGCTTCATTAATTCTTATGCCGACCATTATTGTGCATTATAGATACTTTGCGATGTATTATAAAGGTGTCTAAAATGCATCATAAATGACAGCTTCCTAGAAAATTTTACCAAATTTTTTTTTTTTAAATGTGATAAACTAATTTAGAAGTAACACATCACACAAAACTCTACCAGTAGCTATTTAATCAGACATTCTAATATAGGATACATTTTTTACAGTGTAGTTGGATGTATTTCTGAAGAAAATGAGCAGATGTATAGATAATATTTCTCAGGACCCCATAAGGTTCTGCCTACCTGGACTGTTTATTTAATTATAACATTTCTCAGATAATAGTTCTCAAAAGAAATTACTGTAACAATAGTGAAGCACTAATAACCAAAGTATGCTCATAATGTCATGGATAACCCAATATATTCCCAATACTGATATAGCTTTCCCGCAACCCTGGATAGTGCTAAACAGTTAGAAGATGAATTGTTGTTACAGGTTTGTTAAATTTGTTCCTATTTTCCCACCATAATGGATTTATACAAAAAGTGGTCCCAAATACACAATGCAAAATACTCAACAATAACAATAATATTCCTTTCATACTCACACTGATTGAGTAGATAAGACCTGCAATTCCCAGAGGCAAGCAGCAGCACAGTATGGTGAAGATGGAATATCCCAGGTAGTCTGGTACAGGTGGGTTAAGTGGCACCTGGGTCACATACACCGTCGACAGGGCTGTGACAACAGTCTGGGCTCCTTGTGGATTCTGAACTCCATACTGTGGCAGTGAACCATAAACCCCTTGGTTAGGATAATATCCAGTATTGGGGTTCAGGGTGCTTTCAGTGTAAAAAGGTGGAGGATAAGCCGTTTCTGGCGGGATATTGTATGTCTTGCTCCCATCCATGTTGATGCTGTTTAGATGTTCCTCAGTTCTGTCTAGGAAAGGCTCTTCTTTTGCCCTTTCACAGCTCCCTTTTATGTCACTCATTGAAATGTCTTTTCATTGGTTGATGCTGTCATAATGGGTGAGTCAAATGTTTGTCTTCACTTTAGTTTTCTTCCCGACATCAGCTATGCCCCACCCTTTTCGAGTCCATTTTTGTGAAACAAGGGAGTGCTGACGTCGGTAAGTAAACTAAACAAAAGATCTTTTAATTAATGAAGCTTCACAAACTGAGAGAAGATTTAGAGGTGATTTTTGAAATGCCAGGCACACACTCACATACACACTCACAGACTTTCTTTCCTCCTTCTCTCTCTCTCTTTCACACACACAAAGAGCCATATACTGTACTCTGGGGAAGTTGGGAAAACCACAGGCAGATTATTTTAGTAATTGGAAAGTTAATTTGAACTTACTCCTAGACTGAGTCCAGTGGGTTTTTTTTTTAGATGTCCTCATGATAGCTATAATAAACACAGTGTATTGAAATTTATCCTCATTCCATTCTCTACATTTTTGAAAATATCTCATGCAGAATTCAAACTTGTGATTGTGTGCCTGATGGCAGGCCTGAGGCACATTCCAGGAAGCACTGTGTCACGCTTGACGGCGCACGGAATGCAGACAAAAGCACCAGGAATCGGAGAACACAGGGTTTAATCACAAGGAAGGCAGGCAAAAACAGACTGACAATACAATGACCGAACTGGGGAAACAAACGGAAACGCGGACTAAATACATTGGGCTAATGACAACGATTAGAAACAGTTGGTAAACACGGGGAATCTACACAGGGTTAATGAGGGGGCGTGGCACACAGGAGGAGCGGCCGATCGGGGCAGGACACACTGGGCATGAGGAAGACATCTTGAATGTCTTGAAAGCTCCTCCTTGGATTGCCACCTTATCGTGGTGGAGGGGTTTGCGTGCCTCAGTGAACCTGGGGGCTATGTTGTCGGGGGCAATAGCCCATGGTAGGGTCTCCCAAGGCAAAAAGATCCCAGGGGAGGGGCCAGACAAAGAGCAATCCAAAAGGACCCTATGAAAAAGTATACAAACAAAGTCCCGTTTCCCTCGCCCAGACTAGGGTCACCGGGGCCCCACCCTGGAGCCAGGCCTGGGGGAGGGGCCCGTTGGCGAGCGCCTGGTGGCCGGGCCTTGGCCCGTGGGGCCCGGCCGGGCACAGCCCGAAAGAGGTACGCGGGACTGTCCCCAGGTGGGCCTACCACCCGCAGGGGGAATGTCAGGGGTTCGGTGCTTTGTGGATCGGGTGGCGGCCAAGGGA